CAAAAACTTTTTCAAGTTGTTTACCCATATTATAAACTTCAGTACCAGGAGGATTGAATTTGTAACAGTTTTCAAACATCAAACGGATATCTACTTCAAAATCTTCAGCAGAAGTATATGTTTCATTTTCTAATTTGGTACTTATCATGGAAAGATCCATAGGAGTTTTTATAATATTGTAATACTCAGGAACACCTAATTTTTCAGCATTGACAGGTTCATAGAAAGGATAAGCATATGCATAATGTTGTTTTTTTTTCAACTCTTGATAGACTGAACGACAAAAGTTGAGTTCAGCATTTTTCTTAGTTTTTTTACGACGGGAAGTTTGAGTGATATGAGGAAGTTCTTTGTTAGGAGATTTGATTGTTCTTTTTGGTCTATTTGCTTCGGCATTGTCAGTTTTAACAGTGGAAGGAAAGGCAGTCTCTATAACAGGTTTTTTGATTAATTTATTGGTTGGTTTAGAAGAAGAAGAGGAGGATTCTGTAGCTGGTTCAGGTGCAGGTTTCTTATTATAATCATCAATTATGAAGATAAATTATATTAGTATAATACAATAACATAAATATAATATTTATTTATCTATAGATTCATTTACCTCTTTAGGCTTTTGAGGAGCAGCTTTAATGATGGTATTAGCACCAGGCATCTTAGAGAGTTGTGCAATAAATATTTCTTCCAACTCTTTAGCATATTGAGAAAACTGGTGATGTTTACCATTGTAAATGACACAATTGGAGAAGATGCGACAAACATCATCTACAAAGTCTTGAACACATTTATATACACAGTTATTAAGATTTTTCTCAACTGTACTTAAATCCATTGGAATTTTAACAATATCAAGATAATCAGGGATGTTGAGCTTGATTGGTTCAACAGGTTCAAGAAAAGGTGTTGCATGTGGGTGACGTTTTAATGCCTTAAGTGCATTAGTACAATGTTTATTATGCTCTCTAGTCATAACTTCTTTAAACCAAAAAGTATGGAACCTAATTGTAATCAATAAAATATCAAATAAAAAACATTAAATATACTTGTGTGTGCATATATTGATCATGATTGAGGGATGAGAGATTAGAAACGATGTAAAATGTATGTAAAGGAGTGTATCATTATAATATATACACATTTATAATATAGGTCTACTCGAGTAAATAGTTTCTTATGAAGCATTCATCCACAGAAGTCATACCTTGCATACTTTTCATCATTGCCAGGAATTGCAGGAATTTGAGAATTGGCAGTATTAGAAGAGATGATGGTGTTGGAAGGAAAGAGAAACCCCGAATTTTGTCCCTGAGTGCTTTTAGTTTTCTTGGATTTAACCATGTTAAGGATTTTTTTTATTACTTGTAAGAAAGAAACATAATAAAAATATATATATAATAATTTAAAATTCGAGAAAAGATCTGACGGAAATTACTGGTGTCTAATCTTTCAAAATTTTTTTGGAATATTCTTCTCGCATGGAAAGTTAATTTCTTCTCTAATCAAATATCACAAAGTTTATTTACAACACATATATGTTTAATTATGAATATATATTCTGTAGGAAAGCATTAAATTAAGCTGGTAAATTATCCCAACAACACTCAGTAAAGAATTGAGGTACGTTTCCCAAAACTACTAAATAAATTTATTAAATATTACCCTCACTAAAGAAAGAAAAGAAATAAAAAATGATAAAAAAAATTAATATAAATTAAGAGAAAATAATTATATACGGGATTATGAATTCATTGTTAGAGATAAATTTATTATCATTACGAAAATATAAAATTCGAAGACAACAACAAGGACAACGATAAGGATAGTTTGTTATTTATTAAATGATTGATTCACAATACATGAAGTTAAGAAATTATAACGTTATTTATACATGTTAAAGGTTCTATCATCTAGTTCTCTGATTTCTTGAAATCCTAATTTATTCTAATTAAATGTATTCCTTAAACCTTCTGTGTAGAATTATTTCTAAAGTGATCAAATCATTTAAACTCTTTGTTAAATTAATTCCGAGAATTAAAGGTCTGTTACATTTTAGAATGCTGGATATTTTGAAATATTTTCCGTGATCCATAAAATTACTATTTTACAATATACAGTCTACTCTCTCTATAACGACCACTAGGTAAAAATTTCTCTATAACGAACTTCCCTTTTGTCCCGTTTCAATTTTTTATAATTAATTTCTCTCTCTATAACGACCATCTTAATAAATTCTCTCTATAACGACCAAAAGCAGAGAAATTACATATAGGGACAGAGGGTTCGTTATAGAGAGAGTGAACTGTATGTAGAATCACATGACTCAATCATTTTAAATTATTTGTTTATTCATTATCATTATTATTATAAATTTGGATATTCGAATTATATTAAAAGTTTATTCGAATAAACAAATAAAACGAATAAAACGAATAATTCGAATTTGAATAAAACAAATAAAACGAATAAAATTAATAATTCGAATAATAATAATGATAAGAATTTGTATTACGAATATATTGATATTAATAATAATATTATTATTTATTGAACAATTTAATAAGCTCAGCATCAGATATTGTTTGTTTTTTCTAATTTTGTTCTGGTCACGGGTCGCAATGATTCTTTCCCAAATAAAAAGATCAAATCTCCATTATTTATAGTAAAATCATGCAACAAACCATTAAGGCTTTTTTTATTATTAATAAAATTGAGAAAAACTCTCTATTTCATTGTTGCTTAGGTTCTAGAGTATGGTTGCTTACCAAAACTCTTCCAGAAATCAATCATCAGAGTTTCGACAGGTTACACACTAATTGTTTATTAGAGTTTCGGCAGGTTTTCGCATTTGACAATTGGCAGAGTTTCGGCAGTTATTAATAGGTTTGGCAAGCAACCTTATTCTAAAAATTGCAAAAATAGTGAGTTTTTTTCAATTTCATAAAAAAAATTGCCTTAATGGTTTGAAGTTGCATGATTTTTGAGAAATCTCTTCATCACATTATAATCAGAGATCTGTGCTCTGAGGCCATTTTTTTAAAAGGTAGGACAGTAAGTGAAAATTTGTGCAAAATTAGGAGGTCTTTAAGACATCTAACTACGGTGGACGTTGGGTATTGATCATTTCTAAATTATCAATCCCCTTGTCGATCTAATCAGTCCTGACGAAAGAAAGAAATTTTTTAGAAATTTTCTTTGAATTTAGGCAAGTAATAAAAATAAATTAAATGTTGCGTGCATGATTTTCATTGGTTAATTTCACTTGACCAATGATCGGATTTTTATCTATGCTATATATAAAACAAATCTATATTACTGTTTTTTAAATATTTAATTAATATTGAATAATATTTTTTATGTAATAATCAAAATTTTTTTATTCCGCATGGCTTAACGTAGTACAATTTTCTATACCGGATTCTCTCTATAACGAACAAATTTCTTGGTCCCAATGATCCGTTAAATAATTAACGTGTATGCATTTGTTGATCAAGTAATTCTAATTCTTTTAATTCTTTTGCGCTTTTTTTTTAAAAAATGCCTAAAGAAAGTAAAAAAAGAAAAGCAGAAAAAACCTGGGAAGATGTCGCCAGGTAATTGTTTATTAAAAGAATGGCGGTGGTGGTTACCGCCACTCGTCATCACTCTAGTTAATATATGAGAATATTGTCATCATTATATTCTCTTCTACTGAAGAGGAAGAACAAAGAGAGGAGGCAAATATAAAACTTAAATTGTTGGTTTATTTCTTTTATTAAACAAGAAAATTCTTATTTGCATATTAACAAGAGAACTTTTATTTGTAGAAACGTCGTAAAAATCATAGTCTCATATTCTCCAAACCAGCGTTTGAGAAAATGTAAAAGAAATTAGTCTAGATGTAAGATCTGGATCACAAAAGTGATGCTTGCATGAAATGCAAGGGGTGCGTCTTTTCCTTTTTAACTAATTGAATGATTTTTTATAGACATTAATAATTTTTAAAACAGTTAATATATTTTTTAGGATAATCGAAAGACAATTATGAAAATATAAGGAGCAATTTTTTCACCTTGCTCCTTTTTTAAAATACTTCTGATAGTACTATAAATTCTTTGGATTTCCATGGTAGATCTAATGTAAACTGTTAGATCACATTACAAATGACTAAATTTTGATCCCTGAAATCCTTGGTAACACCAATGTTCACTTTGTCTGGTTTTGTTGCATTATGTACCATTTAACCATAGATGGATTCTACAATTATCTCAATTTTTTTCACATAGGTTATTCAAATGGTGGCGATAGTATCAAATTTGAAGAATTTTGTTTACGATTTTGTAATTATGCCCAATAATCTTATTAAATGAATATATTAATTATCATTGAAATACTGTATATTGTTATAATTGATGTATATTAAATATTAATAGTGGATTGATCAAATGACTGAAATTTAATTATGATTTTATCCGGACTATGTGGGCGTGTGATCATGGGCACAAGAAAAATGATTTTTACATAACATTTAAAAATGACTTTTATCTATTTATATATTTTATATATATATAAAAAAAAATGAAATGTTCTATTTCAATAAAAATATGTAAACAATATATATTAATCGATAATATGTATATTATAATTATTTTATCTATTTGATGGAAAAAAAGTAATAGTAATCGTTAATAATAATAATAATAATAAATTTATTTTACACAAATTAAATAGAATCAATACTTTTTTGGTTGTAGATTATCTAGTTCGTAAACATGGCAAAGTAATTTTCTCATGGTAGTAGTGTATTGCATTGATTCTTGTGAAATTTTCTTCCACTTTTTAGCAATGACTCTTGCAGTATAGTTTGAAATTCTTACAGTACTACCATTAGATTGTGTTTTCTCAATCAAATCATTTATATGAGTTTCCTGATCATCAAAATGTGTTATAAATTTACCAAGTGCAACATAAACATTCACCAACCCATTATTCAATTCTCCAATTTGATCAACCAATTTATCTCTTTCCCCTTTTAACTTGTAATTAATATAACAATATTGTATACTCTGATTTGCTACATTTTTTGCTCCAACAAAAAAAGCTCCTGATCCTAATCCAGCTATGAGTTCTGCAGCTGGAATCGCTGATGCACTACCAGTAAATGGTATTGCTAACAACGATACAAAAAGACCCACACCTGCTAAAACTAAACCCCCTGTAGCTGAAAACTTTGCTTCGGACAATTTGTCTCGGGTGGGTGAATCCATATTTTTTCTGCTTTTTTCAATTTTTGTATTATAATTAATCAAATCCTTACGAACTTTTTTGAGATTTGGTTTAATTCTTTCTATTTCATATTTTAAATTTTCGGCAGACTTTCTATTATTAATTGCTTCAACTTTTAATGATTTTAAAGCATCTAATAATTCATTATCGCTGATGCTTTTATCTTCACAACACTCGGCAAAAACAATCAAGCTTTCAGCAAAAGAATGCAACTTGTTACTCTCATCTATTGATTTTTCAACAAATTTCATGAAGCTATCTCTCTCTCTATTGATTGCTTCTAATTTTGATGTAACAAACCTATCTCCATCAACAACCTTCATAATTGAATAAACCGTAAATTTTTTAATGGTCATTTCCATCTCATTTTTAAGCTCTTCAATTTTTGGTAAATTTTCAAGTTCTTGAGTCTCGAATTTATCATTAATATTATTGTCAGTTTTGTTATCATTATTACTATTATCACTACTGCCACTTCCATTTCCACTACCGCTACCATTACCTCCGCTTCTGTCATTTTGACTATTTTTACTGTGATTATTTTTTATATGTGTCATTATTTTCAAAAAATAATGTAAAAAAAGGCTTACTATTTAAACCATATTTATACAACGCCCCGGAATAGTAATTGTGAATATCGCCGGGGCCCTATTTATACTTGCTACTTTAAAACTAAAATTGGCGATCAACTTGACTAGATTTGATCAAGTGTCGATAATAATAAAAAATAATTAAGCATTTGATGTTGAAATTTCTGTTCTAAATGAAATGGACTAGCCATTAACGATCAATCTCTCGAGCTTTTTTTACCATACCAGGGTTAGTAGAAAATTTTTAGAGTTTTCGAAATAAATAAAATTCAAAATTAGCTCCGATATCAAAAAATATTGAAAGTCGTTCCTTTCCATCTTTATAGCATTGAGTTTTATTATAAATCAAAAGCAGCGTGCTAAATCTTTTTACAAGATCCACAATGCGATACACACAATCAACACTTGTTTTTTGGTATAATTTCTTTCTTGATCAATCCAGAAATCATCAATATAAATTATTATAAAACCAAATAGTTGTATTATTTTTATTTTGTCTACCAGCATTATCACAGTTAGTTCCTCGCCATGTTAAGCAGACGGTTCGTCTTGTATGCCAAATATACGGACCTTTTTGAGGACCAAGTTAATAATAGATCTTACTTATTGTTGATCAGAATGTGGTGCATGGACATTTGGGTTCAATCATAGCTATAATGAGAAATAGTGTTAACACCACAATACTCTCTATGTGTTACCTTTGGTTAACGAATAATTTTGATCGACAACTTTTCTTTGTTCTTCAGCTTAATTTGCACTCTTGTTAAGTCATAGCATTACAGATGAGGTCAATTTGAAGAAAACGCATTCTGGAGATGATTGATTGGAAGTATTTTGATATATATACATTTTTGGGAATAATGAATAATTGAATTGCAAGTTACCACTTTCTATAAATTTCTTGATGAAAGAGAAACTTGTTCGAATAACATATATTGCTAAGCTTAGAGACCAGTGATTGAAAAGGACCAACTGCTAGAACCAATAATATCAATTAACCATATAGTAATAATAATAATGATGGTAATAACATTTATTTACACGTAATTATTGCATGAAAAAGAGTTCAATCAATAATATATACTATATATATTTTTATAATATTTAATTAAAGAAAATAAATTATAAATGATTTTTATTAAATATCTATAATAAAATATAGTTAATTAATTAATAATGGTAAAATAAATCATTAGAAAAAATGAGGGATGGAGAATGAGAATAATAATATACATGTTGTGTCTGCCTTGTCTTTTGTAATAATAATAATAATAAAATTAAATAAATATTTGAATAATAACTAACCAACGTTGAGAGATGTGGCAGTTTTATGTTTTGGATGTTCAATACAAGTGACTGTATCTCTAATTAATTTTTCAAGAAAACCTTTAACGCACCCCGGTTTCTTCGTAGGTGAGACTAACATACACTCGATTCCTCCACGTCTAGCTAGTCTGCAAATAGCGAGTTTGGTTATACCCTTGGATGTGTAAGAATTTTATGACACCTTTTTTCTTCTTTATTATGATCAAAGACATGTATTATTTTATAAATATAAGCTTTTGAAAAGAATAAAGGTTTCAATCTATCATTATCTACATACTTGGTGGTAATTCATCATTTGAAATTGGTGGTGGTAACTCATGATCATTTTGCTGATTTTAATACCTTTTAAATTACTTTTTTTAACTTCATTTTGTCCAAATTTGTTATCAATAATTTCTATTAGGATATTATATTCTTCGTTGATAGATGTCAGAGTTCATTAAAACAAAGCTATCAGTATTACTCATTTAACAATAATATAAGATACTTACTGTAGATACATCAAGTTCCTTTGTAAGCCAACTTGCTCATAACTTATTCGGCTTGCAGGCCAGCTAATATAAAGTTTTATGGGTATAGGTAAATTTGATGCTAAGGGAGATAGATCTGATGAACGACGACCCAAGTTTTAATTCAATCTTTAAATAATTAATACGAATATTTTTTCTAATAGATCTCACGTTTCTTCGAGCCTTTCTTATTCTTTGACTGTTCTCGAGGAATTATTTTCCTAGTAGTCTAGAAATATTAGTCTAAAATAAATTCAGTAATAATCACGTGGATGGACTGATTTATCTTCTATTTTTGATTTTTCTAGCATAATTCGTATCACCAAAGTTTTCAAATATGAATAATTGATGAGAATTTATATTCTGATTTTATGCTAGTACTAGTTAATGATGTAGTAGTATCATTGATCTTTGATTTGATTGCTCTCATGCGTAACTTCTTTTCCTTTGTCTTGGGTTGTTAAATACGATTTACAGCACAGATTAATGAGCTTAATGTATCCAAATAAATTGATAGAACAATGGTTGTTTCTGGAAGAACAATTGAATCACTCACCATTACTATCTTTAACTCTGTGCGGCATTCATGAATACCTGGATTTTACGTTACACCAATTAAAATAAGGTGATATGGTGCAAGTCACCTACGGTGCAGATCATCTATAATCATTAATTGCTTATAGTAACAATTGGTCAACTTCAAAATATTAAAACAAAAAAAAATTATATCATTTTAAAAAATTTAACCGATAAGTTTTATTGTCCATGACTCAAGCTTCAAAACT